AGCCGGATTTCCTCGCCGCGAAGCGGGCCGCCGCCGGCAGCACGCCTCGTGTCTCGCTCCTGCTCGGGGAGCGAGTTTTGTCCAGCCTCAGATGTCTCCAAGCACCGCTGCCGCTAACGTGGCTTTTCCCCTTCGTCAGGTTGAGTTACCCAAGCTCAAAGCCGCTCTTCAGGCGGACGACGGGCCTTCTGCGCTCGCAAAATGGGCATCTCGCTCGGGTTCTCCTCGTCCTCGGGCTGCCTGGGTGCAGGGGAGGCTCCCCTAATGACAGCGTGGTTGGTATGAGTGTTGACGTGCAGAAGGCGCTCCGTGGCTTTGCTTTAATACAGATCTCTGGGTGACAGCAAAATAAACCCCCCGGTCTGACGCAGCTCACGGCTGTGCACGATGGACAGCACAGGAGAATAAAGATCTGGTTGTGGCTTATGCAAACAATAGGGCCTTTCTGCTGGTACAGCTCCAGTCTCATCAGGGTGCTTGCTGGCATGGTTTGGTTTTTGTTGTATTTCTCTCCGCTCATCCAGCCCATGTAGATCTGTCAGATCGGCTGATGGGTCTTCCGAAGTGTAGAGCCCTAGGCCGTGCCCAGGTGCAGTGGTACGTCTGGCTCTGGGGCTGGATCAAACCACCGCAGGCCGATGACACAGAAACCCGCGGCTGAATCACCGCAGTTGGGAACATTGGTGGGGTGGGAACAGATCTTGGGTAGGACTGGGTATTAACTGCCCGCATTGACCTGGGATGCGTACTTATGAAGGTCATCATCCTCCTGGGCAAGCCGGGGACCGTGTTCTGACTCGCGTGTTACACGCGGGCACCTCGGTGCGTTCTGCTGGTTTCTCAAGCCTCAGACTAGCCCCTGTGTGGCTCTGTGCTAAGAATTTGGGTCTGAACTTTCTTCACCCCAGCTCTTTGCCAAGGGACTTGCCAGAGGCAGCCTCTCTCATGCACATTCCAGCAACCTTGACCCTAAGTAGCTGGATTCGCCCCGATGGCTCAGCAGAGCTGCATCCAGTGGAATCATGGGATGCTGTATGTGGGGTGCTGTCTCCCACGGTCCTAGGTTGGAGGTACGAGGACTGCTTGAGTGCTGGCGGGAAATGGCTTTGTCCACTGCAGTATTATACAACTGGGTGTGCGTCTTTTGCCCAGATGGCACAGCATGCACCTGTTTGAGGATCTGGAGCAATGCTGGGTTAAGCTAAGTTTGAGAGATCCTATGAGGCATTTTGAGTGCTAGAGAATGCTTGTGCCCTTCTCAGCAGTTGGGCTGCGTCCTAGGCTGGGGCTGCTGTGAGGAGGAAGAACCTCAGCTTTCGCTCTGTTCAGAAGCAGTTGCTTCAGGGATAACGGCAGGAGATGAGGACAGTGGCACCAGCGTCATGGGAGAGAAGGCCAATGGAGGGCGGCAGTCGTGCGGGGGAGATGATCCACGTTGCCTCCATAGCATGCCTGGTAGCACCCAGGATGTGTTTGGGATCCACTTGTTGCGCCCACCTCTGAGGCAGAGGCTCCCTGCTGCTGCTTACGTGCTCTCATCTGTGGTTGTGGTTTCACTCTCTTTTCTTTTTTCTTTTTTTTTTCCCCCCCTGAAGAAGACAAACCTCAGTCCTGCTTTATGTTATGCTGCTGACCCCGGGAAGGTACTGGGCTGCGTAGCGCTGCACGTGGTGCCCCAGTGGGCTGCGTGCTGTGGTCCATGCTGTACCGCTGTCAGACTGCGGCTGCATGGTCACTCTACCTTCTTCCTCTGGCCTGCCCTGAAGCAGGCCTCCTGTTTGTCCTGTCCTGCAGCTTTTCTTGGGCTGGTCGTGCTTGAACCCTAGAATGACAACTCTGAGAGGGCAAATGCGGACAAGGCTATTGAACTGTTTATCGTTACAAAGTGATGTGTCAGGTAGAAAAACTAGACGAGACCCAGCTTGTGTCTGCTGCCCGCGTAATCACTGCTAACTCATTGAACTTCTGCTAATGTGTCACCATAATATAGTTGGACTCCAGCTCAAGATAGCGAATCCGCGCTCCACCATGATGGTCAGCTTCTTTACCACTATGCCACCAGTGACCCTTCTGTATCTGGGACTGCTTAAGTAACAAAGGGAAGCAGCAGCACACTTGCTTGCCAGAGCTGGGAGAAAACAATACTTTATGATCCAGTATTCCTCCAGAGGGAATCCTGAATCTGCTCATTGGGAGCCAGATAACCAGTGACCTGACACCCTTGCCAAAAAGACAGTAGATAAGTACTGGAGAGGAGCTGCTGCCAGACCCTCCTCCCGCCTGCCAACAAAAGAGGTGTCCGTATCGTGAGCGTGCATAGTGTTGAAGTGGGTAAAATGAACCTGAGCAAGGACAGAGCAGAGCCAGCTGTTGTGGCAGGGCAACATGGAGGCATCTGTTTGTTTCTGAACTCTGGGAGAGGAGGTGGGACCTGGTGTAGGTGTTGGGGCTTCTGTTAACCTCACAGCTCAAGCTGCAAGTGTCCATCTCGCTGTTGCTGGCAAGCCAAGACTTAGAGCCTTTTTCCATATGCAGCTTCCCATAAAAGAAATTTTTCTCGTGTCTCATGGTCTGTGACGCCACAGAGGAATGCAGGCAGCACTTTGACCAGACACGTTCCTCCTGCTGGTACTAGAGTTCCTGAGGCCAGCAGTTCTCTTCTTCCCGTGACCCTGGCAGCTTCCCATTTGCTCCAGTCACTGATTATAGAGCTGGGCAGAGTTGCAGAGTACTACTTGTGTTCCCAGGGAATGTCTGAGCTCTGATGAGATTTTTTTTTTAAAAAATTCGTGATAACTAAGCCTCACGTCTTTCCTCTGCACCCCACACAGTTTCTCGTTGTGGTTTTTGAAGGGGTAGGACGTCCGTTTTAATGAAGGCCAGGAATACAGCAGGTAAGGAGTCTACATGGTGAAGTTGAAAGAATAGAAAGCTGATGGGTTTGATCTGCCAAAGTGATGCTGGCAACTACAAATGCAAAGGCCCTGGAATGAGGGGCGTGCGCCATGTGTTGTTACTTACACGAAGATGATAAAGCCACAACTTTGCAGCAAGCTAGGGTCAGGCATTTTGTGCAAAAACTTTTCTTAGCACGTTCCTAGTGATTTGGCAAGTCAATGAACAGCGATAAGAACCACAGCCAGTCCTGCTGCTGTCTTGTCTGACTCCTTCCAGCTTTGGCCATCTGCTCCATCCTTGCCCACGGAAATCTTTGTGTGCAGCGTGAGATCCTGCAGAACATATGTGCCCTTCACCTGATTATCCATTGCCTCCTAGGCTGTTGTAGAAGGGACCACCTGTAGATGTCCTAATGCTTGAAGCTTCCTTCAAATGGCTTCACAGGTGGATGATCATGGTTCCTCTGGCGATGGCAGCAGGGTGATGCTGGTCATAGCGTGCTGGCACCAAGGATGAATAGCCGTTGCTTCATGTTTTCCAGTAGGGAAGCATTGTGGAAAATGCAGTGCTCTTTCCTCCTAATTCCACCATAAGTGTCTATGGTGACCTGCAACAGCCTCTTAAGTTTCTGAGAAAGAAGGTAAGTGTGGGCCCTGCTGAGGGCTTTTTTTAACCGTGTTGAGGCTCCTGCATGCCCACCACCCCAGTTACTGTCAGCTAGCAGTGTCAGTACAGTGCAAGGCCTGAATTGCAGCATTGGCTGTTGCTGTGAATTTAGAGTAGAAAATGGACCAGATGGAGGAGAGCAGCCCTCTTTGCATTGCTTTCCTGTTTGTTGCCAGATAAAAGATGAGCTTAGCATAGGTAGACGTAAGCGTCATCTTTTCTGTAGTTCTCCCTCCAGCCTTGACCTTGCTCTGTTTTCGGTGTGAGATGTTATGGTCAGTCACTCTCTCTCAGACTCGATTCACAGCCTCCAGCAGCTCCTGAACTGTCATCTGCATGGACATCCCGCTGCTGCATTGCTTGTGCGTGTCCTTCCTCTGCTGATCCAGCTGGGGATGCGATAAGGGGCATCGTATATTAGAGCTGGTGAGCTAGAAGCGTGGTCATCTGCTTGTGCCCGTTCTGGACAAAATTTGTTGGGCAAGTCTGGTAAAATACAGCTCTGATCTTCACTGTTCCACTGTGGCTTTTGGCTTAAGGGTACACGGATTGCCCTCATCAGTGTGCACGCTTGGGGAAATGTCTTGCAAGCGACCTGTAAAGGGAAGAATTCTCAAGAGCTTAGCAAAAGGCAATCGATACCTTGAATCTTCTGATGTGAATTTCAAGTTTAGTCTTACTCTTCTAGTTAATACTCTAGCGCTTAGTAGAGTGCCCGGAGCAGGCGGAAAGAGGTTGGAAAAGAGCCAGGCTCTTTCCAGGCATCTGCCATGCGTGCTCCTTCCCTTCTCGCTTGGATTCCTCTAGTAAAGCCCAGTTCTGCAAGGACTGGGATCAAAGGCCTCAAATGCCTAACTGGATTCATCCAAGTTTTGTGTAAAGGCTTAGATGCAATGAAAACCAGAGTATTTGCTTTTATTCGTGGGTAGTATTAAGCACGTTTGACAAGCATACGCTTAAGAACGGGTGTTACAGTGTGGGAAAAACGGCAAGCGAAGCTTTGATAAAGATACAGCATTAGGAAATCTGCTTGCTGCCTCCCTTTTTCTTCCCCTCTTCAAACGTTTTGCAAATAGTTTTCAGTCGACCGTTTGATCTTAAATTTGCGTGTCAGCAAAGGCTATGCAGTTCTCTCAGGAATTAGCAAATCGTAGAACAGGGTTAACAGGAGTGTATTGTGGGCTGCTTTTAAATTCCTCCCTTGCATGAGCCTCAAAACTGCCCTGGAAATTTCTTGCTAAAAAGTTTATCTTAAAAAGACCTGGAGCTATCTCAGGCTCATTATTTCATTTTTAGATTACCTATTTAGATGCATCCGTTTGATGTCAGCTGTTAAAATTTATCCAAAGAAGTGTCTGTGGGGAAACGGGGTGGATTGAAAATTTGAGTATCCTCTATGCCAGAAGACATTCTCCCCTTGAAACATGGTGTTTCATGAAAGTGTCATGGTAATTGATAGGGTATCAAAAATACCTCTGATGCTCAGAGTGGGCTCTTCTTACTTACTGTTTTGGGGCTTTTTCATTTGTTTTGTGCTGTATGATGACCTGGAAACCTCAAGGACGTACTCAAGCAAGAACGTACAGTCTCTCGGTGTGTTAAACTCTGCCACCACCTGAAACAATTCGTAGTTGTTTGAGCGTTTCCCCACTCCCTTCCCATATGTATAAGGATTTACACAACCGCCCTACAGCCCGGTGGTACGAAATCCCCTGCCAGAGAGGAGCGACACACGACGGGCTTGGTGTGCCAGCGGCTGCTTGGCAGCAATTAGTACTAGTGCTGAGCGAGGGGCCTGCTGGGTATGAGGCTGAAAGGGACTCTGGCCTTTTAGTAGTCTATTTGTAAACATTGCTAAAAGGCAGGAGAGAAAGTGTCAGCCCCCATTACTTACTCTGTCAAATGGTTGTGTTTGGTTTTTTTTTTTTTTCAGTTTTTGTTGAGATGGATTTTGTTAGTGTTTGTCCCCTCTTGAAACTTGTTCAGCCAGATCCTGGGTTGCAGGTTGGAAGTACATCATTTATTCTAGCTTCACAAATAGGAATTGAGCTTACGTTCGTTTGAGGCTGGTTGCGCTCTGGCTTTTCTGAGTTCCTGGACTGACTTGAAAGTACAGAAAAATTCCAGCTCTCCCTCTGTGTACACAGCGATGCAGGAGACCTCAGCTGGCTGGTCCAAATGACTATGCAGATTAATGATTGTCAGAAAAACTAGGCCTGAGTGTGAAAGGTTAGTTAGAAGTATTCACTAAGCTCGCTCCTGCTTCTGTTACGGTCCTCCCATGAAAAACTATGGCGAATGTTGTCTCGTTAGAGGGGTTCTTCTGTGAGGAGGGCAGAGCTCAGCAGTGCTCTTGCTCGTCTTACCGAGCAGCAAACTGTCCCCCAAGCAGGACAGCTCCAGAGCCAGCATTGCCTTGGCCTCTAGGTACGGTACGGGCTTAGTACGGCACGAAAATCAAGCCAGGAGTAGAAGAGCTGGGAACGAACTGTGGCCCCAGTGGGATCATCAGTGCTCGCTACAAAAGGGTTGGGTCTCTTGGAAATCCTTGCCTGTGTCATGATTAGCTCTGCTCAAACAATTCTTGACACGTTAATTTGATGCAGAAATGACTGTTAATTTCTGCATCTTGCTCAGCCGAGACTAGGCTAGATCCTTCTTTCTAGTAAATTGTATTTTGGGGGGCGGGAGTTATAGATTTCTTTTGCCTACTGAGCGGTGCTTCAGTGGAAGCTATAAAAATATCTTTGTTGTGTTTAAAATAAGTTTCTTTATAGTTTCAAAACGTCCTCCCTGTGCTTTTTTAATAAATTTACCACCTAATTCATATCTTAAGTTGACGTTGGAAATTCTGAATTTGCTGTAGTAGGCTGAGCCCAGTGAATTGTTAGTTTACGGACCTCAAAAAGGTGATTCAGACGATAGGTAAAAAGAAAACAATTTTTAAGAAGCTCTTTGTTGCCACTGAAGGAGTTATTTAGTGGATTTTTAGTTAGAGGCAGTTTGTAGTCTGATCTTGGGGCTTTATATCCTAGCTAGTATAACTGAGGGTTCTCATTACACAGACTGGATTTGAAAGCTGTAAGTAGTTTGTAGGCAGAGGTTTTGCATGCTTAGTTTGTGCAGTAAGCTGCTCTTGAAACTCTATGCATTTCACGCCTAGAAATGAACTTTGAAACCATTTTTTACTATATATTTTGCACCCCTCTTCCTCTTCCCCGGTAGTATGTGTTTTTACACAGCATGGCTTTATGGGCATTATTGTCTTCAAACACAGAGAATGAAGAGTTAATTATTGACTTTTCCTAGGAAGTGGAATCTTGTACACGTCTAAACCTTGTTTAAACATTGAAATCCACGTTGCTAGAATTCCCTCGCCCAACAGTTTTCAGCGTGGGCTCCAGCAATGGCGCGGAGTTAAAATATGCTGAGGAATTGTATGATCAGCAGTTAAGTCCCTAATGAGAGCCAAGCAGCCTAAATCTACCTTGGGAAACAATGGAGGTTGAAGGAGGAATTTTGGTTAAAACTCAGGGCTTTGTTAGGGGATCAAAATTTAATTAAAAATAATCTCCCCTTGATGTGGTGTCTGCAGAGCAACCTTCCTCCTGCCCCCACTCCTCACCTACAGGTTGTCTGTGGAAGAGAGGCTACTTTTGAACAGTGGGGGTTTGGTGGTGGTTTTTTTCCTGTGTACTTTCTTGCGTGTTCAGAATAACCTCCAAATGTGCTGTCCCGCTTGATCTCTCAGCTGAAGCAAGTATAGTTACTTCCTTTCATATAGTCAAATTCAGTTTAAATCTAAGGCTTAGAAATGGCTTAATTCTGTGCCCACTTTGTCAAATCTCAGGTATTTAGCTTTCCTCTGACGTACTCCAAAAAGGTAAGCAAATCCAGGGGAAGTTAAGCTCCGTGAGCGTCTCCTTGTGTGTTGCAGTGGTTCTGCTGTTCTGTTCTTTGCTGATGGGCAGGTGGACCTCTACGCTGTGTTGGTGGCCTCTCTAGCCCAAGCAGATGCTGCCGTTGGATCTTTGGGGTTCAAGTTTCTTGCAAGAACTCAACAAAATAGCCTCTTCTGCTCCATTCCAGGGGAAACGTCTTGCAAGACCTCAACAAAATAGCCTCTTCTGCTCCATTCCAGGGGAAACGTCTTGCAAGACCTCAACAAAATAGCCTCGTCTGCTCCATTCCAGGGGAAACGTCTTGCAAGAACTCAACAAAATAGTCTCTTCTGCTCTTCTGTTCTTCTGCTCCATTCCAGGGGAAGCTTCTCTGGTGCACCACACATGCTGTGGCACAGTTGCAGGTTTAGGCCTTCTCTGGGTTGAGCACCATGTCCTTTGGGTGGTTTGGTCCTGTGTTCCTTTGCCAGCTGTACCTGCAGCCTCTCTGAGGTGCTGCGGTGAGGTGGAGGTGCCTCCTATTCCAAGAATGGCTGACGGAGCCTGGATGACTTCTCCTTTCTGACCTGCGGGGAACGCTTGGTAGATCAGAGGGGCCATGTACACTGTAGTTAGGCAGCTAACCCAAGTATGTACCGGAGATATTGAACCAGCATGAGTACCACAGACACCTGCGGACAGGACCGTGAGATCCACCTGTTTCAGGCCTGGGAAGAAGTGTTGTCTAGACCGTGATGAGCAATGGTGTCTCTTCCCAGCCAGAAGTACCCAAACTGAACTCGCCTTTGTTCTTCCAGGCAAGGTCTGAGGACAGAGGAGGAAAACTATTTGGCTCTGTGAAATGGGGAATTGAAGCTAGTATGTTGAAGAGAAGTGCTTGCCAACTGTTTTTCCTAGAAGGACAGAGATGCACAGCACATGGTGGATACTCCACCTGGCAGAAGGGTTTTAGTGCCTCTCTTTGTTCCTGTCTCCCATCCAGTCAGTTTTCACGGGATGTCCAGGGAATTTATTCTTTTTATTTAGGCCGAAACGGCAGTTAAGCCCAGCTAATGTTTTTTGTAACTTTGGGCTCCATGACTTCGGTATACTGAAATCAGTCTACCTGAGAAATTGCGTGCATGTACTTGTGTGACTTAGATGCACTCTGTGCTGTTGAAGCTGTGGTGTTATCGGTGTGTGAATTGTATCAAAGTGGGACTGGCTGCCTCTGACTTCTGCTGAAAGGTTGCAGTTAGTCACCGAGGAGTCAAATGATGCCATAAAGAGTGACTAGCGCTTGTGCAGGGCCAGGATTTTCAGGGAGAGCCGCTGCTCTCCTGCTTTGCTCCTGCTG